TATCTCAAAATAAAACTAAGAAAGGGATGAGAATGTGGTGCAACATGAAGTCCTTGGGTTCAATCCCCAGTACAAACAACAACAACAATAAAAACCCAAGAGAGCTCAAGAAATCTGCATGGGATCCCTTGAGTCTGAGGCCCACAAGCATAGAGTGAAATTGTCAGGTAAAGCATAGTGCTCGCACTGGCCTGGGAGGCATTCAAGCTCCAGACGGTTACAGCTAGCTAAGTGCTCTTCTGGATGACTCAGGACATTTAATAGAGATTCTGCACTAGTTATTCCTTATTAATTGGACCAATTATTCCTCTTGGATAAATGGGAATAATGAATGGAAGACTACACTGAAGCTCATTGTAATCAATTCCTAAACACCAATAATGGAAAGAAAATCTTCTAATCAGCCAGTTATAAAAGATACATTCTGTACAAAGGAAACAAAGAAAAAGTCACAAAGCTCTTATCAGAAAATAAGAAATCTGTAAGACAGTTGAACAATATCTTTAAAGTACTAAAAGCCTAAAGCTATCAACCTATTATTTTTCCTTTTATTTCAAAAGCATTAATCCTCTTCTTCTCCTTCCATCCCTAGAGTCATCATTTAGAGTCTACTCCTCCATCCTTGTAAAAGTGAACACTACAGTAGATTGTACATTAAATTTAATCATTCAAAGCTGTTACCGATTATTTTTTTCAAATAATGTAGAAATTCATTTCTACTGAACTTCAAGTCATGTTAAAGCCTGAACTTCAGGTTATGTTAAAGGAAGTTCTTCAAATGGAGGAAAATAATGCCAGATGGAGACTTAAATCTACACAAAGGAAGAAAGAATGCTAGAAATGATAAATATGAGTAAGTATAAATTTAAATAGATGGATTTTCAGGACAAGATATTATATAGTTCATTAGAATGGGTCGGGGTTAATGTTGATTAAAAACCTGATAAGTTATACCTCACAATAAAGAGCTTAGAATCACCTTCATACACATACCTTATCTTTATAAAATGTATAATGTGAGTATGATAGTCCATGTTTTAAAGATTTAATCTTACCAAAGCAAGGGCTGACCTTTGTTTTCAGTTATTGTAAGGTAACATCGAAGACCTTGGAATGTCTTCCCTTATAGGAGTGTCTTTGTCCTAAATGTTTTAGTCACCCAACAATCTAACAATTTGATTTATAATGGGAGAACAGGGCCACATAGAAATCATTTCCGAGCAGGTGAGGAGCAAGGAACTACAATGTGGTACCACCTCCACCTGTAGTAGACCTAGAAACTAAAGGCCAGCCCAACAGGGAGTATGTGACCAAGCCCCAGTAAAACCTCCAGGCAAGCAGGCTTGGGTGAGCTTCCCTAATAAGCAACGTTCTATGTATGTTGACACACCTCAAGGCCAGGAAGAGCTGGCAAGTCTGAAATCCATGGAGAGAAGATGACTGGCAAGCCCCAGTTTGGACCCCTCCTGAACTCTGCCCTGTGTGTCTCTTCCTTCCACTACTTTTAATCTCTATTCTTTTCTATGAAATAAGCTATAACCATGAGTATTACAACTTTCAGTGAATACAATGAGCCCTTCTAGTAAATTGAGCCCTTCTAGGTAATTTGAGAACTCCTCCAAACTTGCAATTAATGTCAGAAGGGAGGACAATCTTCTGTGGACTACTGTTCTCCCTCTAACTCCTCAGTTGACTGAACTCTTATAATGGGGTAAATGAGAGTATCAAACCTACATATTGCACTTACTATAGTATGTGCCAAACTCTTTTAACCATTTTACACGCTTAGGAGTATCAAAATAGGCTCACAGTAATTACCAAATGGAAGAGTCTTATAATGGCTAATTTTTTGTTGCCACTTCTCAAGGGTAAAGGTAGGATCTCTCCTTTAATATCAATGTTTCTGCTTTCACAGTTTATTTTGTTTACTTCTTTAGTACTGTAACACATCCTATTGGCTATATTATAAAATGATTTTAGTTCAATTTCTCCACATTTCTCATTTCATTTTAACTCTCGGCAGGACCCATTCTTAAAGTATTCTTGGGTTACTAGCAAATACTTTGCTATTCCATTCTTGTATTTCCTAAACCACATCTCTAGCTTTGTAGTTTCTTAGGTCTTTAAAGAAATTTTGCCTTATGTTTTGGTTCAGCCCTTCTTCCAAATATTTACTGAGGATCCAAAGCATGCATGTCTCTAGGCTAAGTCGTGATAGAGATAGAAAAATTAATAAGGCATTACTCACTCCTATACTTACCTTCAGAAGCTAATTCATGGAGAATGTAGAACAAAACTAACCATTTCGGGTAGAAAGTGATCAGAACTACAAAAGGGAAGTAGGCAAGGAAGTTAATCCCAGCAGTTCAGCTAATAAAGGGGTCAATTCCAGTTACTAGACAAAAGGATCCTGTGTGTTTATCCACAATATTTTTAATTGGCTTTCTACAGACACCCATGCAGAACATTTTTACCATTTCGTTGCCCCTTTGCCTAGCTATCTGACTATAATAAACACCTTAACTGAATTGTAACAATGAGAAGGAAAAAGGATGGAAGTGAAGAAAATATCCTCCTTGAAAGATCCCAAATCCCAGTATAGTAATTTCATTGATTTCTTCCTATTACTCAGTTATTCTTTTCTCAAATTCCTTTAACACTATCTAGACAAATCACTCTAATGCTTTCAAGACTGGATACACCAGCAAGTCAATAGATATTTTCTTGTTACTATCTAGTAACTTGTGATTTCTATTATTATTACACTGAAATCAGACACCTTCTTCCCTTTCATATATATATATATATATATATATATATATATATATACCTTTGAAATCACTTAGTTCCACCTCCATTCTACTACAGAGTAAACATTCAGACCAGAAAGTTAAATAAGCTTTCCCTTAGTTTATAAAGCCTACTAATATGTGTTCCCTTTTCCTATTCTACAAATCTTCCTCCCTTCCTTCTTCTGTAGATCATTTGGAGCCTAATTCACTTTCCTCTGTAGAGTAGAAACTGTTTACTGGAAACATAACTTTCACAACTATAAGGAGGCTAAAGTCCCACTTTTTGTGGTCTCCTTATTGTTATCTTTAAGTAGTTGAAATCATATTATATGTATGACTTTGCATCATAAATTAACATTTCAGTATTATCTTTCCATATTATCTGTTTTTCAAACATCCATTTAAGTGAAATAAAATTATTTAGTGCCTGCTCTGTGCTAGGTATTAATCTAGCTTGTGATAAATGAATAAGATTGTTAACTACATTAAAGTGCTGATGATAAATGACACATTTTAAATGCAGGAAACTAAGATATTCTTAAATATAAGATAAATTTTAATTGCTGCATAATATTCAACATATGGATGAATATCCATTCACTTAAGCACTACTTTATAATTGTATAGTGAGAAAGTCTACACCTTTTGATATTATAAATAATAGTGATAAAATGATTGATTTTCATTTTTTAAATGCAGCATTTCTCATTAGAATAGATTTTAGAAGTATAATTGTTGAGTTGCTGTATAAACGTTAAGTCTATTCAATTATATTGTCAAAAGAATTATATTTATTCTCCCACCAACAATTAGAATTTCTTTTTTACTTGAGAGCTGTTCACATTGAAAATTATCTTTTAACAAAAACACTGTTGATTTTATGAATGAAAAGTGGTTCCTGATTTAGTTTACATTTAACAAATGGGAAATTAGTAATGTTTTACCTGATTTCGTTACTTTTTGGCTACTGGTAAAATGTTTTTGAAAACCCATATATATAACCTATGTATATATTCAGTCCATATAGTGCAATCAAGATACATTTCAGGAAGTTAGTTTTGTCTCTAGTTTTGTAATCTAATAAATGAGCAGGGAATCACAGAATCTTAGCATCAGAAAGGATGCTGGCAGTCATCAAATCCAAACTTCCACTATTGCAGGAATCCTTTCTGCAGTGTCCCTGGCCTCTGGAGTATCGCAATGATAATTTATTTACTATTGTGTAGTTTTCCAGAAAAATAATACTTTCCCAGTAACTGAGATGCTAAATATGAAATTGTTTTGATAAAGTTAAAAAGATACAATAAATCAAAGATTTTTCTAATTTATAGATTAGATTAATTGGAATTTAACAGTTGTAAAAATAGTATTCTGTCAATAATATGACCTCATATTTACACAGTGCTTTATTATTTTAAAGGTGCTTTTTCATCCTTGAATCATACTTAGTGATTTTAATACTATTTTTATTATTCTGGTATATTAAATCTCAGCATTAATGTTGCCATAATTCTTTTATTCTGGTATTTTAAAAATCAAAAATGGAATTTATATATTAATTAAGGTAATTATTAATTATTACTGTAACTCAGGCAGTTTAAGTAAAAAGGCATATATTATGTACTCTATAAGTCTATCTAGGTCCTCACTTGTGCCCATAGCAAAAAGAAACCAAACAGAGCTATCAATAAGCTCCTGTTGCAAGAATAACTCTTAGTCCTAAATAAAGAATTTCTTGTTCAAGAGAATATGAACACCCTGATACAAAAACTGATAAAGGTAACTCTGCTTTGCTTTGTAACCTCTAGATATACATGATAAAACTAATGAAGATGATGAAAAAGTAGAAATAATTTCTTTCAAAGAAAAACTACATAGCTTTTTATAAATTAAAAAACCCGGACCCAGTCAAAAATTAAAAGTGTCTTATAAATACCTTCACAATATTATTAAACAAGAGATGGAATTAGTCAAAGTTAAAGCAGTCAAAGGAAAATATTAGGAATTAACAGACAGCTATCTCTTCATTGTTGTTCTGACTAGTATAGTGCTTGAAAAATCTTGGAAAATTCTGTTCAAAACTATGCTCTTTACTCAATCACAGCACTACTGATGATGCATTTTGACTTTTTTGAGATCACATTTATAAGATTGACTAATATTTCATAATATTATCTACTAATACATAGTAAAATATTAATGTATGTTTTTATAACAGCTTTATTGATGCATAAATCACAAAGAATACAATTAACCTATTTAAACCATACAATTCATTGATTTTCAGTATATTCACAGTTGAGCAACTGTTATCACAATCAATTTGAGAACACTTTCAATACCCTCAAACAAAAACCCTGTACCCATTAACAGTCTTCCCTACAATCAACACTCCCCCCAGCCCCAGGCAATTCCTAAACTACTTTCCATCTGTGTGGATTTGCCTATTGTAAACAGTTCATGTAAGTGGCATTATATACTATGATGTCTTGTCCTTGGATTCTTGGGATAATGTTTTCAAGGATTACCCAAGTTACACCAAATAACAGTACTTCATTCTTTTTTAAAAATAATCTCCATTTTTGTGGATATACCATTTTATCCCTCGTGAACATTTAGGTTGTTTTCTCTCTTTGGTTGTTATGAATTGTTGTACACATTTTTATGCAGATCTACTTTTCCATTTCTCTCACATATGTACATAGGAGTAGAAGGGCTGGTTCATATTGTTATTCTATTTTAACCATTTGAGGAACTTACAGTTTTCCAAAATGGCAGTATCATTTTACATCCCCACCAGCAACATATGAGGATTTCAATTTCTCCATATCCTTGTCAATACACATTATTATCGTATTTTTTATTTTGTTCTAGTAATTTTTTGTTTTGCCATTCTATGGACTGAACCTAGGGATGCTCTGCTACTGAACTACATTCATAGCCCTTTTAAAAATGTTTTTAAAATTTGAGACAAGGTGTTGCTAAGTTGCCCTGGTCAAATTTAAGCTTGCAGTCCTCCTGCCTCAGCTTCTCTAAATGCTGGGATTACAGGCATGAACACTTATTTTTAATAAATAGTAATTCTTGAGGCAAGAGGATCACAAGTTCAAGCCTAGCCTGGGAAACTGAATAACTTAATGAGATCTTGTCTCAAAAATTATAAAAAATAAAAAAGCTGACACCCAAAATAGTTCCAGCAGAGTTAACATGTGGAAGAATTCCTATGATAAGATGTTCAACTAATGTACCATCCTAGTAATTGAGATAAATATTCCTCAATCTAGTTTCCACAATAGCTTATCTCTTTATAAAAGACATAAACATTTGTTTTTCATTAATAATTGTAATTGCTATAATACTTAAATTATCAATTTGCTGCTAATGCTAGGAAACCTGGTATAAGACATGAAAATTTGATATTTGTCTAGTAATATGGGGCATGGTACCTGATATCTCTAGTTAGTTTAAGAACAGGGAACATATTTCCAAATAGTCCCAGTGCAGAATAACTTAAAGGAAGCTGCTTTATATTTTTCTATATTATATTCTAAAGTCACATAAAGAATTATTTGACTATATGAAATGTATGCATTCTTCCTTAAAGAAGTATCTATAGAGGTACTGTAGTTATAGAAATGCATTTGGTATTCATCACTGGTTTCATTGCTGGTATTCATTACTGAATGAAATTTAGGTTTAGTTCTAGATATAGGTAAAAACACCATTAGCTAAAAGCTATTATCTCTGTGTGACTTCTGGAAATATAAACTCCAATAATTTCACTTTTTAACATGGACAAATATGATATATATAGAAATAGATATATTCCAAACCAAGGTTATAGTTACAAAAACTGTCTAAATGACAAAAAACAGTCTAAACATGAATAAGAATATCTAGTAAATTTTATAGATCCTCAAAAATACTTTTGTCCTAATTCTGTCTCTATATCTACACTTGAGTATTGTGACCCTTGTAAAAACTACATCATTATGAATTAATTATAAAATAATGTAAATCATCAAGTACTCAGTGGCAGGACCATGTGACTGAATAAATATTGGCTTTCTAAAATGATAAGAAAACTTAGAAATTATATACTTTGCCTTTGTCATTTTATAGGTGTGAAGAATGAAGACAAAGTGAAGGAATTTGCCTAAGATCACCTAAGTTTATGGCAAAGTGGGAAATATTAACAGCTGATTCATGACTGAAGGTTGTTCCCATAACACAATGATATTTCAATCAAAATTTAATAAATGTTTGCTTTGAAGTTTTGTTTGAGCTTTAAATTTAAACAGCTGAGCATGATATAGGCTAAAAAAAAGTGCAAACCTTTTTTTTTTTTGGTACCGGGGATTGAACTCAGGTCCTTAGCTTGCAAGGCAGGCGGTGGAACCACTGAGCTAAGTCCCTGGCCCAAGTGCAAACCTTTTTATAAACTCACATTTTTAGCTAGAAGCCAACTAGAAACCAAATATAATAGTAATGTTACTATTAGAGAAAATCATGAATATATTATTAAAAGCAAGTGTAATGATGCCAACCTTCAAGTTTCCTAATATATATTTTTAAAATCACAAGCACTTCTATTAGATATTTTAGGATTAATATTGAAAATTCCATTCCTGCAGACAAAGGAGTAAATTTCTGTAAGAACTAAAAAGAAGTTTGGTAGCTCTTTCTTATCTATTTCATTCTCTGAATAATACATTGAACATTAACTTCACAAGGTGAATATTGTTCATGAAAAAAGAAAGAGAAGGAAAAAATTGAAATCTATGCTGTTCTGAAATCACTGAAGTTTGGAAGATGATTTGATCTTGTCATCTTTTTCACTGTTCCTCTCTTAGCATTCACAATCTTCTGATTAACTGGATTGTGTCTTCCCCTGAAATAAAATAAGCATTGATCGTAATTTTTCAATCACCATTGTGTACAACATAAACATATACTGTATTTGGAGAACTGTATAGTGTACTTAGTTCTTCAGTCCACAGTCTTTCATATGGAAATCTTCCTGTGAATATTTTTGCTTACTGTGCAATCTTAGGCAGCTTTCTTTGGTCAGCTTTCCATTGCTGTGACACAACTTAAAAAGGGAGAGATTTATTTTGGCTCACAGTTTCAGAGCTTTCAGTCCATACTTACTTGGCTCCAAGGCAGAAATATCATGGAGGAACTGCACGGTGGAGGGAAGTTCCTCAACTCATGGCATCTTGGAAGCAGAAAGCAGGGGAGGAGCCTATCCAAAGGAGCCCAGGGACCAGATATATTACCCAAGGCTTTACCCCCCTATGGTCAACCCAGATACATCCAGAAGTGTGGTTTACTCATCTCCTAGGCATTTCTTAAGCCAATCAAGTTGAAAAATCAACCATCACAGAAGCCATACCACATTACCATAGCTATAGAGGCATCCAACTCAAGCATAAATACTCCAAAGGCTGGGAAGTAGTCAATTGGATGCCATAATGCAAAAAGCTGTCTGGAAGCAGATGAGGCAGGTCATTCTGATACCCTTAGAATTTGAATTAAAGCTAAGGGGGGGGGGGTGGAGACATAGACAGAGACAGAGACAGAATGAATGAGAATGAAGTAGAACAGGATAAAGCAATTCATGAATTCCTATTCTAAAATTTTCATGGGATCTTCTTTCCCTTATTGACTTATGTATCTTTACAAATCTAATCTTCTTTATATTCTTATCCAAGATAATGAGAAATGACACTGATTCCCCAAAATATGCTTTTAAACAATATTTTAATTAGGAGAATGATGTCAGTAAAACTGATAGAATAAAAACCTGTCATTTCTTGGTCATGAGGGAAAAAGTTCTCTACTCCATAAATTGATAAAAAATAGCCAATGGATTTTTTTACAACTCTGGAAATTTACTAATGTCTTGTATTTATATTAAAAGCCTTTTAAAAAAGCAGTATATATATGTAAGGATCACTAGAATGAATCTTTCAATTGTAGTGTAGATAGCTTATTAATTTGTGGCCATAATTTCACATAGTAGGAATATAACAGCCAATATTCAATCAGGCACTATCCTTTTTAAAAATAGAATTTCACATTTAATTGAGTGTTTTCTAATGTTCTGATTTATTCTGAACATTCGGAACACTGCATAAGTCAATGTTTTAAGATCATCATTGTTATAGCTTGGATGCTGAATGTGATACTAAGGTCCATGGGCTAAAGGCTTGGTCCCAGGGTGGTGTTGCTGAGAGGTAGTGGAACCTTTAGGAGGTAGAGCCTTACAGGAAACCCTTAGGTCATTGGTGGCATATCTTTGAAGGGCATAGTGGGAGCCCAGCCCTTTCATCTTCATTTTTGCTCCTTGGCTTGTGATGTAGGTGATTTTGTTGTGCTATATACTATCACCTTTATGTGCTGCCTTACCACAATCCAAAAGAGTGGAACTAGTAGATCATAGACTGGGGCCTCCAAACCTTTGAGCCAAAAGAAATCTTTTCTCTTTATAAGTTAATTATCTCAGGTATTTTGTTGTAGACAGAAAGGTGACTAACACAAGCACATATGAGAATATCAACTAATGCAAACATTAAATGTCACTGACACTTGATCTGTAAAACACTGTTTAATGTATAGTATTTACAGAAAAATGTACAAAACATAAACTTACAGCTCTATGAATTGTAATAAAGCAAATGCTCAGGTAATCACTCCCCAGGTTAATAAATAGAATATTGCAATCATACTAGAAAGTCCTCTCATGTCTTTCCCAATTATTATTATTCTCTTTCTCTCTCATATTTGTCATTGCTATTTACTTCACAGTTTACTTTTAGCTGTTTTGAAGTTTATGTGAATGGAAATTTATCACATATTTCCTTTCATTTCTGACCTCTTCCACTAAAAACAAAGAATTATTCATAATGTTATGCAAGCTGTAGTTTGTTTTTGTTATATATATCATATATATATAAATTGTATTCATTCTATCATTGATGAACATTTAGGTTGTTTTCAGTTTTGACTGTCAGTGAATAAAGTTGCTACAAACATTCTTGTACAGGTCTTTTGTTGTCAGTGTAAGCACCATTCTGTTTGGAATATAACTAAGGAGTAGAATTTTTGAGTCATTGAGTAAGTATGATCAGCTAAACATAAATCTTAATGCTAAACAGTATTCCAAAGTGGCTGTATAAATTTACACTCATACCAGCAATATATGAGTCCTTTATTCCCACACATACTTGACAACACTTGGAATCATCAATCATTAAAATTTTTGGCTGTATCTCATAATTTTCATTTGCATTTTGTTAATGAGTTATGATGTTGAGTACCTTCTTATGTGTCTGCAGACCATTTGTATATCTTCTTCTATGAGGTTCTCAACACTAAAGGTTGTTTTAAGAATCAAATTTTAATCATCAATAAAAGAACAGTACTAACTTCCAGATTTAAATCAGTAACTCAGAAAAACAGTATTTTAAAGTAGTACTAATTACATATACCTAATTTGAAAGAGTACAAGTGTACAGAAATGTCTCTGTTAGATGAGCTTTGTGTTATAGTTTTAGAAAGTAATGGACTTTTTTGTCCACTTGTTTGACCTTTCATTTACTCACAAATACACAGGGCGTGGTGGTGCTGTAATCCTAGCACTCGGAGGTTGAAGCAGGAAGATCCCTGTGAGTTCAAGGCTAGGCTAGGCTACACAGTGAGTTCAAGGTCAGCCTGAACTATGTAGTGAGACCCTGTCTCAAAAAAAATTCACTAAAAATTATTTATTATACACAAATCGATGCCTGGCACTGTACTTAACATTGAGTTGAATCAAAACTGGAAGTAATAGATCTGGGATTAGGCATGAACTGTGCTGAAGGACATGAACAGCTGATTCAGAGCAGTGATCCCAGACCGTGTCACATATCTTTTTGTAGCAGCACATTAAACTCCATTCAGACCTGTGGCATGGAGAAGCCCACAGAAAAGCTAATCATCAGCCTGATACACAACTGCTGCTACATAAGGAGGTAAGCAGGAATGTGTTTGGCACAGGTAATCTACTCAGGAATCTTTTAGTAGTAACTTCCCAAATTTTGGCAGTAAGTAGACAAGTGCACTAGGCATGGCCTAGAAAGGATGTGGTGGACAGGAACTCACATTTCATGGGGATAAGGATCTTGGTCATTCAATCAGAAAAAGAAAAGTCCACACTTGGTAGGTAGACTGTACCTGCACCAAAGCCCTACTCTCTCTTCCCAGACCTGGTTCTTTTCCTTCCCCTACAGATGCTGATCCTATGAACACTGCAGTAATTAACTTCTTCATGCTGATTCCCATTTCAGAGTCAGCACTTTGAGAGACCCAACTTATGACAATATTCAACAGAAAACCATACTCTCCTCACAGACATACAGTCTACTGATATATTGTATGTATGTGTGTTAGTACATAATTAGAATGAAGCTTTATTTTACTTTCAAAATATTTTCCCCTTCACTATTTAAGCAAATTTGAAGAAAAGGTGGTATCTTTTTAAAAGATATTTGAAATGGAACATAAATGTGAAAAAAAATAACTAAGGTGGTTGTACAGAAGAAAGTTAATATAGCAGCCTTGCTGTTGTTGGAAAAGTCTGCTTATAAGGTTAGTTCTTGGCTGGTGTGGAAATTTAATGGTTAAGTGTTCCCTACCCTGACATAAACTTTCTCTAAATGATAAGAATGTCTTCTGGTGCCTACCCTGTTTATACTAACAGAATGCTTCATACTGAACACTTGTTTAACCTTCTGGGAGTCTGGAATTTTGATAGGTACTAGGTAGAAGATGTCTGTGTGATCTATCCCTGATTAAAAAAAGAAACTCCCTTGGGCACTAAGAATCAAACAAGCTTTCTGAGTGGATAAAACTTCATATGATATCATATGTTATCATAACTCATTGCTAGAGGAATTAAGTGACCCTGTAAAGCTTGCACCTAGTTTTATCAAATATTATCCCATGACTCTTTTCCTCTGATAATTTTAGTTTGTATTCTTTCTCTGTAATAAATCTTAGCCAACAGTAAAATATATCCTGAGTCCTGCAAGTCTTTCTAGTGAATTACTGAATATGAGAGTGGTCTTGGGGTGCCCTGAACACAGTAGCACAACAGATTTTATAGAGAAATTCTTTGAACTTACTTTAATAATTTAAACTACATTATACATCCAAAGATGAAAGTGCATAAAGATAGTGAAATAAAATATAAATCACCTATGAATATTCAGGAAAGAATACACTTTGATCTACCTAGCCAAATATTGGGCAAAATGTTGCCATATAATTCATCTCCAATTAATCTGTTACACCATTAATTAATCAAAGAAACTTGCTGCATTGTATACCCCATGAGGACCTCCTGCCTTGATCTATTTTGAAAAGGATTCTCATTTGTAACTTATTTATATATCAATTTAATTTTAGTGTTAAATTATATGTGAATATATACCCCTACATGGGATAAGGTTATATAAAACAAGAAATATTTGCATAGTTCTTCTGTACTTAGTACAGAACCAGGAAAACTGTGTGTAGATATAACCTTCTAAACTTCTATTCTTTATCCTAAATTGGGTTTGTTTACAAGGAAACAAACTATACTGTCATCTACATTTATTTTGGTGTCCATTGTAATGAAAATACATTCTACTTCTTCACTATAAAGGTTAAGGATGACACTTTAATTGTAATATAATGTTGTCAATAGTGTAGTTTTAAGCTCCCCTTGGGTAATGCATTGGTTTAGCTTGAAAAATAATATCTTACCATGCGTGAGGATTGAAAATGTTTCTGAGATCTAAAAAACGTGTATAAATGGTGAACAAAGACCACAAACTTCTTTAAGTTCTCTTACAATCTGCTATTTTATATTGTTGCTATAAAATTCACTTCCAAAATATAACGGACACCTGTTTTATCCATACCATTCCCAAGCAAATATAATTAACTAGAAAGAAAAGATATAGCTAAACTTACGCTTTCACCAGATTCTCTTTCATTCTAGGCAATTGTTCTATCTGTTGCCTTTTAGAAACTTGATGTGAGCCAGATCCCTGAAATCCAAAAAGAAATTGAGTGTTCATCCTTTTATTTCATGATTGAGTTCAGCAATAAGAGCAATAGTCATTTTCAATTAACTCGTCCACAACCAGGTCCTTTAGTAGCATGTGTAAGAAAAGCTGAAGAATAGTGGGAAATTCTGCCCTTCTCCAGGATAATCAAGCTTCCAAAGTGTCTGGAAATCTCCTTACTTTAGCCCCAAAGTCCATGTGGTTTAAAAAAAAATATGGAGGAAATTATGAAATTTGTATTGCTCATGTGGTTTAGATCATGAGAAAATTTTGTAGTAGACACTACATACAAAACATGCACCTTGTCATTACAGTACATGAGGCTATTGTTTTAGGGGCCAGGGATTTAGCTCAGTGGTTCCATTGCCTGTCTCTGAAGGGCAAGGTCCCAAGTTCAATCCCTGGTACCAAAAAAAAAAAAAAGACTATTATTTTATCTAAGCAGTACCAGTAGGTGTAGTGAGGCAGAAATAGGATAATAATTTCACTTTTCTCTATTTTGAAATTCTTCCAAGATATAAAAGCACCTCTTGTGGATGGTCTAAATATAATTTATAATCCAGAAATTGAGGATGATCACCTTACAGATGGAACTTGAAGCCATGAATGAATGAGATCATTCATTAAAGGCATATAGAGAAGTAAGAGAATTGAAACCACAAACCTAGGGAAACAATTTTTAAGGGTATCCAATCAAAGATAGGACCAACAGGAACTCCCATACATATACATTGTTGTGGAAGTCAAGTGTGTATATGTGGGCAAGGTGGTATTCAAAAAAGTGAGCCTAGGGCTGGGGATTTAGCTCAGTGGTTCTGGCACCCACCTTACAAGCGCAAGGTCCTGAGTTCAATCCCTGGTACCAAAAAAACAAACAAACAAACAAAGAAGTGAGGCTGATCAACAGGGTAAAATGCCTCAGAAATTATTTTTAAGGAGGAGCCACTATATGCAGCTATTAAAAAATAAAAGCACATTATATGCATGTGTAGAAATTTTACAATGAAACCCATTAATTTATATAATTAATAAGTACCAATTGTTATTTAGAGAATGGAGGGTCTGGGCTGGGGACAATGATGGAGTCAGAAACAAGATGAAAAGAGGTCAAGGAGTGAAAGGCAAAGGTAGTATATATCCACTTTTTCATGAGATTTGGCTGAGTAAAAGAAATCTTAATTGGCAGTAGTTGTATGAGAATGGATGAACTCACTATGTAGCCCAGGCCTCAGCCTCCTGCCTCAGCCTCCCCAGTGCTGGGATCACAGATATGAGCCATCACACCTGGCTGGAATGCTTTTTCTTTAAAACAAGAGAATGAACATCTGGGAACGGTGGTACAAGACCATAATCCCAGCCCTTTGGGACACTGAGGCAGGAGGATCATAAATTCAAGCCCAGCCTGGACAATTTATCAACTTACCAAGATTCTGTCTCAAAATAAAAGAGAAAAAAAGCACGCATGGCAGGAGGGGAACACCTGTCTGTATATGTAAGTACAAAGGCCCTGGGTTTAATTCCAAGTAATGCAAAAAAGAAAACAAAAAGCAGAACAGGAGTGGTAGATAAAGATATGGGTATATTTGCAGGCAAAAAGAAAAACAATTAGATTTCACACCTGATAGATAGATCTCTTTCATGATATATTAGATCATTTACTACGTAACAGGTTTGAGTGTTTTAGAGCAAGAAATGGAATTCACTCATTCTTTCATTCATTCAATAAATGTTATTGAGCATGTGCTACCAGTATATTAAAGAAAGGAGTACAAATACAACTCATGGTCTGTTTGGGAAAACAGTGAAAACAAAAGAAGATGACAATGAGAATCTTGATTAAGATTTACACAGTGCCTTAGGAACATACAGCAGATGGAACTAATTCAGGCTCCACATAGAAGAGTAATCATTTAAGAAATAAGGAAAGGAACACCAAGGGTCTCAGGCATGAATCAGCATTATATAAGCAGGAATTGGCATAACCTTAGATATGGCTGTAGTAGAAGATGTTACCAGGGATACGGATGCAGAGACAGGCACAGCCATGTTAGAAAGGACCTTTGTAGACCACACCAAGGAGTGTTTCTGTGACCCTTTGGACAAAGCATACTGAAGGTTTTTAATCCTCACCATAGTATCTGTATTAAACATTGATAACTCAGGCATCAGAGAAGAAAAATGAGTGTAGTGGGGATAGGCCTCTGAGAGTTCTGCTATTGAGAATGTATCTCAACTACTAGATTTAAACATGGGGAATTACATTTTAAAACCAACAATAGCAAAAGTGAATTATCTAAAAGCAACAGAAATGTCTGGATAGCCTGGAACCTAGGTCATAAGAGATGGCTAACTTGGTAACTTGAGTTTAGCTCAGAAACAAAACAAAATAAAAACCTATTGGAAGACTGAGAATTGTTTCTAAGTCTTTCAAAAGATATCATGTAGAAAGAGCAGTACAGATTTGTTTTGTGTTCTTTGGAGAATAAAGCTAAAACCAATTGGATGTTAAGGATGTATAAAAATGGAGAAAAATGAGAATCATGTGAGAAGGCAATAATTGTGGAAATTAGAACTGTCTGTCAATGAAACAGAACTATCGCAAGTCCCTTTTCAGTAAATCAGAAGCATTATATCCCATGATCTCTCAGATCAATCGATAAAATTTTGTATTTCTGGAAACAGTATCTAAAACTTAAATTTCTGAGATATTTCAACAGGCTCTTAGTCTTTCCACCTGACCTTTCAGTAGTGCAGTATACTTGTGAATTCTTTTTTATTAAATATTATTTTATTGGTACATTTTAGGTATACAATATAATGACATTCATCTTTGGAAATTTGCACCTTTACATAATC